GGAGGAGAGTTCCCATCCTTCTTCCATGGAGCCGCTGGCAGCCTCAAACCGCATGCCTTTAATGGTTGCACTTCAGCTTCTTGCCACTAGGCCACCAGAGCTCACTATGTGAAATCTACACCTAGACTACAAGCTGTCCCAATAATGCAAGGGGGCACTAGCACGGTTTAAAATCAAGAAAGGTGCACATCAGGGCTGTATCTTTTTTCCATATCGATTCAATCTGTATGCTGAGCAAATCATTCTAGAAGCTGGACTTTATGAAGAGGAATTAGCACTAGAATCAGAGGAAGACTCATTAACAACCTGTAGAAGGATTGTGGCATCAGGATTGGTGCAAGATTCATCATCCTGCATTATGCAGATGACACAGCCCTTCTTGCTGAAACTGAGGAGGACCTGAAGCACTTGTTGCAGAAGGTCAAGAACTGCAGCCTTCATTATGGATTGAAGCTAAACATCAAGAAAACAAAGATTCTCACCACAGGGCAAATTGGCAGCATCATTATGGATGGTGAAGAGATTGAGATAGTTAATAGTTTTAGTTTGCTTGGCTTCACAGTCAACACTCTTGGTAACAGCAGCAAGGAAATCAAGAGATGAATTCCATTGGGAAAGTCAGCTGTCAGGGACCTTTCCAGAGTAGTGAAGAGCAATGACGTCAGTCTGGAGACTAAAGTGCACCTGATCCAAGCCATAGTCATTGCAATTGCATGCTATACATTAGAGAGCTGGACAATGACTAGGTATGATAGAAAGAGAATTGATGCCTTTGAGCTGTGGTGCTGGAGAAGAGTGTTGACTATACCTAGGGCTGCTAGGAGAACAAACAGGTCTGTCCTGGAGAGCGTGAAGCCAAGATGCTCCTTGGAGTCAAGGATTCTGAAGGAGGGACTAGTCCTTGGAGAGGGACATCATGTTTGGGAGAGTGGAGGGGACAGCACAGGAGAGGGAGGCCCTCAATAAGATGGATTGATTCTGTGATTGGGGTGGTGGGAGTAGGTGTGTCGGAGACAATGAGATTGGCACAGGATAGAGCAGGGTTTAGGACTGTTGTACATAGGGTCGCTATGAGTTGCAAGTGACTCGATGGCACATAACAACAACATTATGGAGATAAAAGAACTTTGCTTGCTGAAAAGGAAGAAAACTTGAAACACTTTAACGCAGAAAAATAAAATAAAACTAGAGTCTCCGTATGGATTACCTCTTAATATCAAGAAATCAAAACCAGAAAGTAGAGTAAATGTCCAACAACAGAGGAATAGCTAAGTCACTGACCATCATACAGCGAACAGTATACAACTCCAAGAAAAAATAAATACCATAGGATGATTTCTAATATCTGAGCTCGTTGTTGTTGTTATGTGCCATCGAGTCGTTTGCGACTCATAGCAACCCTATGTACAACAGCCCTAAACCCTGCTCTATCCTGTGCCAGTCACATTGCCTCTGACACACCCATCCCGATTACCCCAGTCACTGAATCAATCCACCTCATAGAGGGTCTTC